ATCGAGAAGGAGAAAGTGCAGCGGATCGACATGCAGATCAACAAGGAGAAGGAGAAGCTGGAGGAGGTGGAGCGAGCCATCAACGACAAGAACGAGATCAAGCGGCTCAAGCAAGAGCTCCGCAGCAGGGAGAAGGAGGTAACCGCCTTGTCGGAGCAGATGGCCAGCAAGGAGGCCCAGTGGAGGGCTAAAGCCGAGCAGTACGAGGTCGAGATCAAGTCTCTGTCGCGCACAATCGAGAACTTTGGCCGCACCAAGTGGTGAACGTGCGTGTTCGGCGGGGGCGGTTGTACAACAAACAAATAAATGAAAATTCTGCAACGGAAAAGAAAAGGTAGAGTGGAAAAAAAGAGAAAAAACGCTTGCCACATGAGGGGCGTGAGGAAGAGGCTGGTGCTCCTGGGCCTCGGCATACTGCTGAGCGCCTGGCTCAACTTCTCCTTTTTCACACTCACCAGTGAGCCTCCGCCACCATCCTTTCCCGAAAAGAAGTGTGGATTACTAATCTGTCCTGGTGTGTTCCCTGTGCACAGACCACCTCCCACCAAAGAATGTGGCCGTTGCGGAGGCCCAACCATCAAAGCAATCAAGCCGGGAGGAACGGCCTCGTCCCTCCAGCCAGCTCCGACTGTCGCCCTCTCCCTTCTCTCACCGGCTGCCGCCGACGCCTCGTCGACCACCTACAACCAACGAACCACCACCGGTGGCTGGGGCAAGTGCTGCCCGGCGAACCGTGCAGAGCGCCCCCGAGGAATTGGACGACTTGCTGGCGGAGCTAGCGCCTCTGCTCAACGAGCAAGACGACTTCCCCAGCGCCGTAGATCGTACACCTTGCTTCCTTACTCGTGCTATATCAGTGCCTCACTGGCGCACCGCACACGCACGCACGCACGCACGCACCACACACAATCTATCCATACATACAGAGATCGCTCTCCTATCCCGTCGTATACAAGTGTCACTTGCCTTACCTGAATATTCCCTCACCTCTGCGAGGCAGCGAAGAGCAGCGACGTGATCGAAATGATGGAGCTTGTCAACCAGCGAAGCATCAAGGGCGAGAAGGTCATCGCCGTTTCCCTCGTACATGGCGCCCCTCATCCCGCGATTTTAGAAAGTGGTGCTCTCTGCGATTTGTAACTTACTCGATAGCACCTTTGGCTTGACACGCCACCCTTTGGCACGACGATGACTAGGTGAGTCAAGGGATGCTGGACTTTACCTACAACTGGGTCTGCTCTGTGAGGCGTTTCAACTTTTCGAACTACGTCATTCTTGCCGGCGACGTTAACACCTACACCTCGCTCAAGGCAGCAAACGTAACATCTCTCTCTCTCTCTTCTCGTGGTCCTGATTGTGTTGTTCGTGCATCAATGCTTTACAACGATACGCGCAGGAACCGGTTGTGTTTATGGCAGGGCGCGCTTTTGGAGCCAACCAGTTCTTGCGATATGGGACGACTGCCTACCAAGGGCTCATGCACTTACGGTATGTAAAGCTGTGCTGCTTGTAGTTTGCTTGGAGGTTATAACAATAACGGAGGGAGTGGTTTGTGCACACACAGGCTCCTCTACATTAAGCACCTGCTCCAGCTCGGCTACCGAGTGCTTCTCTTCGACGTGGATCAAGTGTGGTTAGCGAATCCATTCGACTTTATAGATATCCATTCTCCCGCCGACATACACACTCAACACGACGGTACATATCCACATTCGTTGGCATATCTGGTCTCCGCAGCCCCTAATAGCAGCTGTGTCGCGCAAACAGGCCTGGTTGGCCCACCCGTTTCGTGTATGGGGTTCATATTCCTGAATCCAACGCCAGCGCTCTTGAAGCTGTGGGAGGTTGTCCGAGTAGAACACTCACTGCGGGTTCGTTGCCGTCCCTTGTCGCAATTTCTTGGACCCCAGCAGCATAACCCCCCCCAACAACAAACAACAAACAACAGACTCGGACGAGGCCCTACGCCGAGCGTAACACCGAACAGAAGCTGTTCAATGCCAACAGCAGACTTTTGGAAAGTGCGCTTGTCACACCTCCCTTCCCTACTCTCACCTTTCTCTCAGCGTAGTGGTTATTGCAAATGTTCCACTAACAGACGCACCCCCAGGGCACTATCTAAATCGGGAGTTGTTCATCAATGGCGGTCTGTACTGGCACCAGGCGGTCTCGGTAAACCACTTCCAACCGGTGCAGATACACGCCAACTGGGTAGTAGGTTGGCTATCTCATCTTTCTCTCAATCATTGAGTGCGTTGGGTGGAGCAAACAACGCTCACGCCTTCGTCCTTTGCTGCTCGTTCGGTCACAGGTAAGGAAAACAAGTTCAAGCGGTTAGAGTCGAAACAGTTGTGGATGTTGGCTCCCGGCTACCACTGGAACACGACTACGCCAGCGGTGTGCGACTATACTTTTGCCCAGCCCCTCGCCAACGTTGCTGTCGCTCCGCC